ATGGCCGTGGCTCAGTGTATTAAAAAGCCATCCAGCATAGCTTTGTTACCGTCGTCTTCCCAGCCCCTGCCACGTGTATAAGAGATCCAGCTTCATCGGGGACGTATGCATGATGTGGCTGAAGGTAAAAGATTCTGTGTTTTGTAAGGCTGTAGTTAAGCAGCCTTGAGAAGTGTGCCATCCCTCCCCTAGAAAACGGTCCTGAGAGCTCCCCATTCATCTGATCAGCCTTCTGCAGGTGAGCTCAGTGCTACAACTGCGTGTATGTCCTGCGAGAACCAACTGAGAAGACCTTGGCTTAAGTAGAGAATGCTGCTCCAAGTCTCCTAAAAATTCCCAAGCCCTGTTTTCAGTAGACACCTGAAGCCCACCTGCCTGATCCCTGTAATAATCCAGAGCGAGGAAACTGTTAGATGTTTCCTTTCAGGGGCTCTCTCCAGCAGCAAACCCGGTACTTCCGGAGAGGGAGCTTTGCAAACAGCACCCAAACGTGCCCCCACCAGCTGAGTGTTCATCAGTTCATCTTCCTTTCACCAACAGCATAGAGAGGATATGCCAGAACCCATGGGAACAAAAGGTTAAGGGTCATAGTTTCAGTGGGTCAGATTTTCAACACATTATCCTCATGTGGACTCACACCATAGCACATGGGTTTGGTAGTTTGACCTTGTTTCTTTCAGACCTGAAACCCAAAGGTCAAGGCCACTTGCCTTGTGTGTGCCAGCTGCTGAAGAAGGTCATCACCTGCTTGGGAGCAAGCAGAGGGCAAGAGAGCAGTGGAACACAGCTCCATTCCCATCAGTGAAACGAAACCGGTTTGCTATTTCTAGCCACGTCATTCCACTTTAACTCTATGATCATTACCTTTTTAAATAACCTTTTTATGGGTCGTTAGTTTTATATGTGATTCTCCACTTTCCACCCCTTCTTATTTTTCCCATTATCAGAGCCTTACTTGTTAAAAACAGAAAGTAAATAACAATGCAGCCTTGTGATCATGGTTTCATAAACATACAGCGTTCCATTGGTACCTGGATATTTGCTTTCTGAGTACAGTTGAGTGAGTTTAAATGATTCCTAAAAATGGAAAGACGGTGCAGGCTACCGAGATGGAGGCTAAAACCAGTATTTAGAGAGCCTCTGCCTGATTTGACATGGCCTGCAGGTGTGAAGGGCACTCGCTTTCTGTTCTGTGTATTTGGAGTTACCATAGCTGGCCTAAATAGTGTACCAGAGATGGGTTCCTGCACCGAGCGGTTCAGACATACCCGTTGTATCGCAGCAGCTCTCGGCCCAGGGTGGACTCACGGCGATTTCACGGCACTCCAGGTGTCCTGCTCATGAGGGTTCAAGGGATCGCCACAGACCTCAGCAGTCGCCTTCTCTCCTGAGCTGGTCGGGATTTCTCAGTTGACAACTAATCATTATGTAATCTTGTGATAGCCTTTCCATTGTTGACTGATGTTGTTACTTGATAACTAACTTTCCATTGCTAAGGTGTATCTACAAAGCTACATGGTAGGTTTCTTGGGCACAGGGCCTGGTCTTGTACTTACCTGTTCCTTGTGGCACTTGGGTGGGAATCCCAGCTCTGTGACCTTGAACGAACTCCTTCACCTCCTTCCTTCTGCTTCCTTGTCTCCAACGCCTGCTTTGCAGTGCATTATGAGAACCAGCTAGCATGGTGCTGGGCACTAGGAGTACTTGGTAGATGGTAACTAGACAAAGCCTTGCACACAGAAACTGAGCAAAAATTTAGCAGAACTGAATATGACCAGGCAGGATTTAAACTCGTGTGAGGGGAGAGCTAGTTATGGACTCTTGAAATTTCATGGTGAAGGCACCATTTCCTCTGACTTTGAACTTGAATGACAGTTTACAATCCTGTCTTTAGTCATGACTCTTTAAGGACCATATGATGATCATTTCAAGCTCATCATGTCTCCTCAGCCCAAAAGGATCGGTGATGTGATTTGGGATGTGGAGACTCTGCTCATTGGCATCCTCAGTCCCACTCATACATTTTCGCATCAGCTTGTCCCTGCATGGAGAGGCGTGTTCTCCAGCTCCTTGTAGCCATGTGGCAGGTGGCGATGCCCCATGACTGATCTAATCAACCCCAGGGGTGTTCCTGGTTTCTCTAGGAATTTTCTTTAAAACAGCTATAGTGGGGGACAGTGTCGGGACTTATTGAGACCAATGGCATTGAAATAAAAAGGGAATGACCATAAGGGAAGACTTTACAAAAAATATAAGTGACATCGAGGTGAGTTTCCCCCATTTCCCGTATGCTGGGCACATCTACCCAAACTCGAGATGTGTGTTTCCATTCAGCAACTGGCAGATTGCGTGGGAGCGGAGCAGAAAATGCTTCCTTATGGAGGGGTCAACAGTGCCTTGATTAGGCCATTCTTCTCTTTGTTGCGCAGTCACATTACAGTGAAGGAATGGGTCATGTGACATTCCCATGCTTCCTTTGGTTACTTGTAAATGTGTACTTCCTTGCCTTGCACTCCCTTTGAAAGGTTCCTGGGGGAAAATACATAAAACAGATATAGCAGATACTGCATTTGGTGCATCTCTTACCATGTCAGCTTAGTAGGACACAAAGGTAGGTCAGATGAGCTCCCGTTTCGATAATGGTACTGGGGGTTAGGACAAATAAGGACTGTTGCTGTGCCCTGACTGGTCGGTTGGTGTGGTTTATTGGTTTACACAGTGACTCACTGCAAAAGTAATTTGAGACGATACTTGCCAAACAGACCGTGTTGTTACGTTCTGTACACTGTAGTTGTACGTTAGAGGCACGGGTAGACTTACGACATTTCAGCACCACACAAGCTTTCATCGGCTGTATACCGTGTTAGAGACCCTAATCAGATGCAGAGTTATAAAGAGAAATGAAGCCATCCCTGATCTGAAGGAGCTTGCTGTCTAACGGTAGAAACAGACCCAATTAAGTATAATAAAAGTCAGATAGCAATGATTGCCCTTGTGGAACTATAATGTGAGTCTAGCAGTCATGTTTTTCTGTTGTGTTCTTTTTTTAACCAAATATCTTGGGACTCATTAACTGACAGAGGGTTTTTTTTTGTTTTTTGTTTTTTAAATTTGGAATTTTATTTAAAGTCCTTCCAAAATACGAACAATTAAAATCCCATTCAGTTATATATCTAAGAAATGTCCCTGGCTGGAAGGAATGCCGCATGTTCAGTGCTGCCCTGAACAATCCAGGGCATTTTCCTCACCCTAGCGATGGGGCGAGAGGCTGGTATCGTTTGTTCTAAGAGGTTGGGAGACCGCTCCCGGAGAAGGTGGTGTCCATGTTGAATCGCAAACAACGGATAGAAGTCCTCACAGGAGTTTTGACTCTGTGTGCTGCCGTGAATTCAACACATGTGGAAGTCAGCCACAGAGCTGGCCAGTTCAACTTGCTCTGTACCAACACCCTTAACAGATATTTTGATATTACTGCTCCTAGAGCTTCCAGCAAGGACCCCGTGCTGGCTGCTTTCATTCGATTTGTACACACGATCCGCAGATCTGCCTCCCCTTCCTATGGGATCAGCAGTGTTTGCAAGAACCTAGAAGATGCATGTAGGTTTGCATATAGGGTGAGGAAGCCTGCCCTGAATACTGGCAAGTTTAATCCCCTCCCATCTGAGAAAACAGTTAGCCTTAGGCAAGGTATTTCTAATTGTCTAAGTCACCCTCTGCATGTATAGGGGCGTGTACGCGGATGCAAAGCCGTGCATAAATAGCACATTTTTTAACTTTTAATTTTTGTATTGTTATGTTAATCACCATACATTACATCATTAGTTTTTGATGTAGTGTTCCATGATTCATTGTTTGTGCATAACACCCAGTGCTCCACGCAGAATGTGCCCTCTTTAATACCCATCACCAGGCTAACCCATCCCCCCACCCTCCTCCCCTCTAGAACCCTCAGTTTGTTTTTCAGAGTCCATCGACTCTCATGGTTCGTCTCCCCCTCTGACTTACTCCCCTTCATTCTTCCCCTCCTGCTATCTTCTTCTTCTTTTTTCTTAACATATGTTGCATTATTTGTTTCAGAAGTACAGATCTGTGATTCAACAGTCTTGCACAATTCACAGTACAAAAATAGCACATTTTCAGTCGATAAAACGTAAAGCATGAGGAGCACCTGACATTAGTAGGCTGAGCTTCTGAAGATTGAGCAGGAAAGGAGACAACCGCCTGGCAAAGCCGCCGCTCATAATTAGGGAAGGAATAGCCTGTGTCCTGTGCCGCTCAGCAACTTCAACCATTTAAATGGCAGCCGGTTTGTTTAGTTGTGTAACCCCCATTCTTTCTGAGCCAGGAGTTGATTTTGGGGTTGAGAACACTGCTTTGGATTGTCGTCATCTCTGGTATCCCTGTAAGGTCAGATATGACGTGATGACTGAAAAGTCCCATCTGGAACCCCTGATGAATGAGAAAAACAGAAGTTGCTTTCATGTCACTCTTTAACTTGTTAAGTGAGGGAAAACTGTTTTTCAACCCCTGTGGACTTTCAGGTTTAACAGGCCATATTGCCAGTTTTGCAGTTGCCCAGAAAAAGAATAGAATGCTTTCTTTGGCTCGAGTGAGCTGCAAGTGTCACGGCTCTCCTTACTAGAAGGGCTCTCCACGGGACTGATTGGGAGGGAAATTAATAGGCTTCCCATTGTTACCGTGCATTTTTGCCAGGATATTTCATTAGCGTAAACACTGAGCCCGTTGCCATCTTGTTTAGCCACTTGACCCTGGTGATTTTCAATGCCATGTGCCAGGTGATGAAGGGGAGCGAGGCATGCACGAGACAGGCACTAATTATTGGAGGCAGAAGCATTGCTGACCCAGTGCGAGATTAACTGCTCCTTTGCAGTCTCTATTCTGGGACATTAGCACTGTCTGGTTATCTTGCTTCAGTTGAGGGATTTGGGACAATAGCCGTGCTGATGGTAACGTCGGCAATTTCCCTGTTTGTTTTGCAGGTCACGGCCAGGGGCTTTGGGCCTCTGCTACAGTTTGCCTACACCGCCAAACTATTACTCAGCAGAGAAAACATCCGCGAGGTCATCCGCTGTGCTGAGTTCCTGCGCATGCATAACCTGGAGGACTCCTGCTTCAGCTTCCTGCAGACCCAGCTCCTGAACAGTGAGGATGGCCTGTTCGTGTGCCGGAAGGACACGGCGTGCCAGCGCCCGCACGAGGACCGTGAGAACTCCGCGGGAGAGGAGGAGGAGGAGGAGGAGGAGACGATGGACTCCGAGACGGCCAAGATGGCGTGCCCCAGGGACCAGATGCTTCCAGACCCCATCAGCTTTGAGGCCACCGCCATCCCAGTAGCCGAGAAGGAAGAAGCTTTGCTGCCCGAGTCGGATGTGCCGGCCGACACCAAGGAGAGCTCTGAAAAGGACGCGTTAACACAGTACCCCAGATACAAGAAATACCAGCTTGCATGTACCAAGAATGTCTACAATGCATCATCACACAGTACCTCAGGTTTTGCAAGCACATTCAGTGAAGAGAACTCTAGCAACAGCCTCAAGCCGGGGCTTGCCGTGGGGCAGATTAAAAGTGAGCCGCCCAGTGAAGAGAACGAGGAAGAGAGCATCACGCTCTGCCTGTCCGGAGATGAGCCTGACAGCAAGGAACGAGCGGGTGATATCGAAATGGACCGGAAACAGCCCAGCCCCGCCCCCGGCCCCGCCCCCGCCGCCGGGGCCACCTGCCTGGAGAGATCCAGGAGCGTGTCTTCCCCCTCCTGTTTAAGGTCTCTGTTCAGCATAAAAAATAGTGTGGAGTTGTCTGGCCTGCCCAGTACCTCTCAGCAGCACTTTGCCAGGAGTTCAGCGTGCCCTTTTGACAAGGGGATCACTCAGGGTGACCTTAAAACTGACTACGCCCCTTTCCCGGGGAATTACGGACAGCCCCACCTGGGCCAGAAGGACCCGTCCAACTTCACCATGGGGTCGCCCCTCAAGGGGCCTGGGTTGGAGGCTCTCTGTAAACAGGAAGGAGAGCTGGACCGGAGAAGTGTGATCTTCTCCTCGAGCGCTTGTGACCAAGTGAGCACTGCGGTGCATTCGTATTCTGGGGTAAGCAGTTTGGACAAAGACCTCTCCGAGCCGGTGCCAAAGGGTCTGTGGGTGGGGGCTGGCCAGTCCCTCCCCAGCTCACAGGCCTACGCCCACGGTGGGCTGATGGCTGACCATTTGCCAGGAAGGATACGGCCCAACACTAGCTGCCCGGTGCCGATCAAAGTCTGCCCTCGCTCGCCCCCCTTGGAGACCAGGACCAGGACTTCCAGCTCATGCTCCTCCTATTCCTACGCAGAGGATGGGAGCGGGGGCTCACCCTGCAGCCTCCCTCTCTGTGAGTTCTCCTCCTCGCCCTGTTCCCAGGGAGCCAGATTCCTAGCCACAGAACATCAGGAACCAGGCCTGATGGGAGATGGAATGTACAACCAAGTCCGACCCCAAATTAAATGTGAGCAGTCTTATGGAACCAACTCCAGCGACGAATCCGGATCGTTCTCGGAAGCAGACAGTGAGTCGTGTCCCGTGCAGGACAGGGGCCAGGAGGTAGGGAACCCGCATAAATTCAAGCATGTGATCCACTCTTGCAGTCCTTTATCTGGACTCTACCTGCTGCCCCAGCACTCCCAGATTAAAGGTTCCAGGAAAGGGACTGCCTTTCCCATCCACAGAGGCAGGATGCTTCAGAGTTATTCCAAATTAACCACTTTTGTCCTAGAAGGCACTTGAAATTTGATCTAGATTTTGGTACTCAACAAGCAGAGGCGAGCTGCTTAGTAAAAAAAAGTTCAGTCTAATGCATGAAAGCATGCCCGGGTACTTCAGATCTCCCCCTTCCTCCTCCCTGTCTCCTTCTCCATCTGCTTTGAAAGGGTGCCGTACTCATCACCCTCATCCTGGCGCTGCACCCCTTCAGGGTGAAAGAAAATAGAGAATCACTTTCAAAACTGATTGACACTAGACAGACCCACAATAACAGGTGCTCGTCCAGCACCCTTTAAGTTTTCCTTGTCAGCAGGAGTCCCCGGGGCCATCCCTTGTCCATTGCAGTGCAGGCGACAGACCGCTCCCCCTCCATCCTGGTTCCCGGGGGACCCTGCAGGAGCACCCTAGTCAGACACACACAACTGTGTAGCGTATCGTTTCCTGAGCTCCCCACCAATGATGAAAGGTCACTTTGAGGAGGAGTGGGCGCAAGTAGCAGTTTCTGCTCACCCTGAAAGCAAAGTGCCTTCCCGTGCTCTGTAGCTAAAAATTCCCAAAGGCTCCCTCCATCTTACCAATGCCGGGAGATGGAGCGGGAACACCACCAGCCCCACGGTGAGCAACACTCCCATGGCTGAGGAGAGAAAAGAATAGACGCCCCCTCCGCTCCCCTTTCCCTCTGTAACATGAGAGGCCCCTGCAAAGATCTGAGGGAGTCCTGTGTCATGATCTGGCACTGTCTGGCTGATTGACAAGGAACCAACCTGACACTGCCCCCTGGGTCTCAGAGCTGCCTTGGGAGCAGCGGGAGCAGGCCCGGTGAGAAGCCCCTGCCCAGAGAAGCCCCTGCTCAAAGAAGCCCCTGCTCAGAGCTGCTTAGGCCTGCGCCCTCGGCCCCCTGCCACACTCCCGGGATATTGGCCCCTAGGAAAGCAGGGATGTTAACCCAACCAGACGGCAGAAATGCCACAGGGGATGAGGTGCCTTTTCACAGAGCCATGTGCGGTGGATTCAGCCTCTGCAAGATTGGTAAGAAGCACATGAGGTTTTAGTTAGGGCATGTCTTGAAATAGATCCCAAAGCTCCCTGTGGCCACGGCAGAGATGCCCTGTGGTCACTTCCTCATGTTGCTAGGGAGCCCGCTCCCAGCTCGTCTGTTACTGCCTGGGGGGAAAAATGGAGTAAAACAGAAACATGCTGCAAGGATTTAATGTAGCTCAAAGAAATTATAAAGGAGATTTGAATGGGAACTCTTCCTGTCTGAGAATACACCCTGTCCCCTCAGGTTTGGGTTGTGCCCAGTGCCCCAAACCAGGGGCACCTGTGTGCCCCCCGCCCCCCAGCTAAGATTTGCGCTTTCTCTTTCCTCCTTTCTCTTCCTTTCGTCATAGCTTAGGGGAGGTTTTCTTTTTTTCCCCTGACATTGTTCCTAAGCGCCCCTGATCCAGAAGCCTAGTCCCTGGGTCAGGTTCATCAGCATAATGATTTATCTTGCTGAGGATTGGTGTCTGCAGAAAAGGACAAATGTCTTTATCTTTGTCTCTCCCCTAAGAGGAGCCCCACCATTAAGCTGAAGGGGTTGTGTTGTCATGTTATTTGCGTATGTTCAAGGAACTGTCAGTTTCTGATCATCTCCTTTTGTCTCTCTCGTCTCCCAAAAGAGAGTTTAAAGTCACTTCTTCAAGTTAAATGCCACCAACAAGAGCACGTGTGTTTTTCCTGTGTGTTTGGGCCACATCACTTGTCTACCTTTAGAACGTCTCTGTTCTAAATGAACCAGTCAAAAGGACAATTCGTGCAACCTATAAAAAAGTCGTGAAAAATACCAGCGCTTTAAAAATATTTTTACTTTTACTTTTCAAAAAAAAAAAATACGTTCTTTTAATTTCTAAACACTGAAAGCAGGAACCTTTACCAGAGCTCTATGCCGTTTCAAGAATCACATTTAGCCCCCTTCAGGAGGGCATTTTGGACAGGGTTGTTAGAGTAAAGGTAAACTTCATCCCAGTTTGACATTTTAGTTTTCCTTGAGTAGAGATTAGGTCTCAGGGACTCAGCATGACTTCTCCTCTTTGAGTTAGTAACTTGCTTCCAGGAGTTACTTTGACCCCAGTGGAAGCGTGGTCCCCGGTAGTAACATTGAAGGCAAATCCTTCCTTCACAATGTGAATTGTCACTCGTTTTTCTGAACTGAACTGAACTGAACTGATCGAGAAGAGGCCAACATCTGTTGGTCTGATCCTGCCCTGATCTGTTCTTGTAAGAGGTTCAGGTGACTCCCCTTCTGAGTGAAGCCCAAGGAGACACTGGAGTCAGAAACCAAACAGAGTTCTCACCTCCGGCCAGGTACCTGTCCAGTGCTCCAGACAGATGGGCCAGGCTCCTTCCCAGCCTCCCTTCCTCCACCTCAGTCAGGAGCCAAATGTTAGATCAAAAGGAAAGTATCAGCATTCCTTACAGTCGGTAAGGTGTTCTGGTTATAGTAGCGTCTCATGGATCCTGACTTCTCTCCTCTTTTTTAACTGTCCCCTGGCTTTGAAGAGAGCTTCATTGAGCACAATATTGTCCTTTCTCAACAATCAGCTCTTTAAAATTACTTTCTTCTTTGAAATAATCAAACACAACATACCCAGCCCCTAACATACCAAATTTAACAGGCTCTCTCTGTGCCTGCTACAAAATACAAACACATATCCCCATTAAAGTTTTAGTTTAATGGCATTTACTGTACAATTACTCAGCAATGTGCTTCCTTTACAGAGCTGTTCTACTATGTGCATGCCTCTAGGTCAGTCACATCGGGTTAAAGCATACTTCTTTAATATCCATGGGTCCCACAAATCACAGCTTATAGCTCTCATAGCTACCATCTATCAACTGACAGTCCAGGTGTTTCCAGGTTTTTTTTCCCTTCTTATAAAAATTGCTGCAATAAACATTTTTGTGAACATATTTAGTAGTGGTGCTTTTATTTTTGTGGGTTAGAATCCCCGAAGGGGGTTAAAGGTGATGCTTATCTGTGAACTACTCCCTAACTACTTCCCCAAAAGGTTGTATCCTTCAGCAATTTATGGATGTCCATCCCCCCTGCTCTTGCCAATACTGGCTGTTACCAGTCCTTTTAAATTTTGACCATCTGCTGGGTAAAAGATGATAACTAATGAGGTTGACATCTTTTCTCATGTGTATGTGCCATTTATATTTCCCTTCCTGTGACTTGCCACTTTCCATCTTTGCCCATTTTTCTCTTGTGTTGTTCATCTTTAAATCAATTTATAGGATCCTTAATCCCTAATACAGGAATATTAACCTTTTATTAGAAATGTTTCCGATAGTTTCTCCTACTTGGTCTTTTTATTTATGGCATCTTTTTACCATATACAAAGAAATGTTTAAGTTTTATGCAGTCAAGTTATCCATCTTTTTCTTTATGACTTTTGGGTTTGCTATATTACTTAAGAAGTCCGTTTGGGAATTTCTGTCTTACTTCCAATGATGAAAAATATGAACAGGTCATATTAAGTAGAAAAAGTAACAAAACTGTATGTATAACAAGGTCCTAATTTGCTTCATAAATATACATATGACTAAAAAGGCAATATGGAGAATAAGATAAAAATAAGAGGCAAAGTTGGGGAGGAATGTACCTCTGTCATTTCTGAGTTTTATGTATGTATATCTCACAGAGGGTCATTATTTTAATTGAGATTCAATTCACACACCATAAAATTTACCCTGTTAAAGTGAACAATTCAGGGATTTTTAATGATCCACAAAGGTTTGGACCATCTCCACTGTAGTTCCAGGACATTTTCATCACCCCAAAAAGAAACACCATCCCCATTAGCAGCCGCTCCTCACTGTGCTCCCCTCAACCCCAGGCATCCACTAATCTACCTTCTATCTCTAAAGATTTGCCTATTCTGAACATTTCATAACTATGTGGCTTTTTGTGTCTGGCTTCTTTCACTGAGCATAATGTTTTCAAGGTTCATCCTTGCCATTGATGTACCAGCGGGTCCACCATATCTCAGTGCTTTGTTCTTTTTTATTGCTGAATAATCATCTACTCTGTGGATAGAGCACACTTTGTTGATTCGTTGAACGGTTGAGGGACATTTGGGTGGCTTCCTCTTTTTGACTATAATCATTGGTGTACAAGTGTTTTGTAGACATAAGTTTTCAGTTCTCTTCATTATGTATCTAGCAGTAGAATCGCCAAATCATATGATAACGATATCTTTAACCTTTTGAGGAACTACCAGACTGTCTTCTAAGGTGATGGCCCCATTTGACATTCCTACCAGCAGTGCACAAGGGCTCCCGTTTCTTTTCTTTTCTTTTTTTTTTTTTAGATTGTATTTATTTATTTGACACAGAGGGACACAGTGAGAGAGGGAACACAAGCAGGGGGAGTGGGAGAGGGAGAAGCAGGCTTCCCACTGAGCAGGGAGCCCGATGCGGGGCTCGATCCCAGGACCCTGGGATCATGACCTGAGCTGAAGGCAGGCGCTTAATGACTGAGCCACCCAGGCACCCCTGATTGTAGGTTTTAGTAAGGAAGCACTAGAAAGACAGTTTGCATGGCCAAAAGGATCGATTAGTTGGACCTGCTTTATTAACACATTTCATGGCAGGAGGCATAAAGCGTGCGAGAGTGAGGATGTGTGTACGTTTGTGTTGATGCGTGTGTGTGGGAGCAGGGAGAAATGATGTCTGACATGTAATAAAATGGAAGAGCCGTGTCTGACTCTTACTCTTCCACCCACATGCCAACTTCCAGACATATGTTGTATGTAAAAATTTTACAGTCATTTTTTGTGGTTCATTGAATCAGGCAT